GAATTGGTGGGTAGGTGTTGGGGAAGAGGGGGGGGGGTCGTACCGAGACCCTCATTTAGGTGGGGGGTCGTACTGACACCCTTTCTCGGAGGGAGGGTCGTACCTTCACCACCACCTCACACATCACGATGCTGTACCCTGGTGATAACGGCCTCAGCAAAAGGAAGGATCACTATCGTAGGGATCTAAAAAGGGTGGTACCTGTCCCGCTGTGGCTGAGACTGTCGTGACTCACCGCTCGATACAAGATCGCTTGGACTTGGTTCTAAGCGCGTCAGAGTCAAAATAGGCACAGGAGTTATTGGGAAACCCAGTACCGAGCCTAAGCTTTTTTCCAGGTCTCAGAGTAGACAATAAGAACAAGTATCGCAAAACATGATTCAGACATCACTCCCTGGTAAAAACTTGAATGTGGTGTTGGGACGTGAAAAAAGGGCCACACGAAATGTTTTGATAATTGCCCTCATTATACAAGAATTTCTCTTCCCTCGATATTATTCACGTGTCTGTTCCTATTTCGTATTGTCACTGTAGGAGAAACTCCGAAGAAATTACTAGAAACTTTCTTTTCGGGCCTGATTTGACCAGATTACTCGACGGCAGCGCATTTAGTTACATGGCATCGGAAAAATGTTCCCTGTGCAATAGCGATATATAGTAACATTGACTAACAATCTGGAGGTAATAATGAGGAAAGGTAGCCAGGTCGTTAAAAGAGCAAGCGCCAAAGCCTACCAGGTTACCAGGAACTCTTCTATCACTGCTTTCGACGCCGCAAAAAGATAAAACATCGCTGACGAGTTACAAAAGAGCCCACAACCTTCCCGTTAGCCTGTACCAACTGGGTGGTTTTCAGTGGGCTCTCGCTTGGATGCGTTTTTCTTGAACTGTGCCCTCAGCAGCGGGAGACAAGCGGTGTGTTGCCTTTGGGAGCGCCCACGGCTTACGATCTGCTTCGTCTGCTTCTCATGACTCTTCTCGCCAGACAAGCTGATTTTCGAGTGCCCTGTATCCCACGCATGCCAGTCCGACGATTCTGAACACCCCGTGACTGAGACTAGTGCTCGAGAGAATATAATATCCTTCCACCCTGACTATGAGCAAGTTACCTAATCTATGTACCTGTCTTTTTGGCGCAATCATCCCCTTAGTTACATTTTCTCATGGATCCACGTTCTTCACAAGTAATTTTCCCATCGCTTTCTGATCCAAAATTATTTCTGCAGACTACTAGTATCAGTTATTCCTTGTCTCTTAACATGTTGCACCTGGCAATAATTTTTGCGAATTTGAGGTTGTCGATTGTGGTGGCCCGCCAAATTGGCGCATTTTAAGAGCAAATCCATGAATCAAAAACACTCTTAGATTCACTTTACAGCGGGTTCATGAAATTGCTGTGGTGTGCGATTGCGACAGTACTTTGGAATGGAACTGAATAAAATGTTTACTTGAGAGCAACAGGGGCGCTGCTGTCGAAGACATAAATAACGTAACATTACCAGAGATTACCAGAGTTTCTGAACCGTCGCCCTTCACTGTAACTGCATTGTAATTGTAGTGAGAAAATACAAGCCCCACCTCCTTCTGCACGTGGTAATGTGGTGCAGAGGCTCGAGGGTATAACTCAGATAATAGCGGGGCGAAAACCTTGACTTTACTGAATATTTTTCAATCGCTGACAATGGCATGGAGTATTTTTAGGAAAGGTTTGCAAACTGGATGAGAAGATAAGGCCAACATATGATCCACATCGGCCAGCTGATGTTCCAGTCACATTCTCTTATCTCATCGGGCGAAGCCAGTGCCAAAAAAAAACTGGTGACTTAAGAGGAGACTTAGTCAAGACTCTAGAGGCTCCTATCTGTTACGTGACAACTTGAACTTTTGGTCCTGTTGCAGAATCCTTTATGCAGGCCGCTAGCGGACGGCACCTGCAAAAGCAGTGCAAAAAAGTGTAAGGAGAGTGTGGAGTTTCTTAGTTCCTAGGGACTCCTGGTAAGTGAGCACTCACAATGGTGAAAAAAATCGGGCACGTCCCGTGGACGCGAGTATTCGATAGAATGTCGTAAAGACCGAGGGCGCACAGAAAAAACCTCAGATATTCTGCTGCGCGGGGTTACTGAGAGTGAGTTTAAAAGAAGTAGTAAATGTTTAGTGTGTTGCTAATGTTTTAAAACCGCGCATTGTTTGATTACAGCTTGAATTTTTGGTGCTTATTTCACTTGAACTTGTTCATTGTAATTCAAGTGTCCTGTCTAGCTAGACCACGCTATCCGCTCCTGAGGTAGAGACTTCAAACACAAGTTTCAGACACTTCATCACGATTTGACCAGATCACTCGACGGCACCGCATTCACATAGGCCATTCAGAAACATGTTTCTTGGCAATTTGCGATTAGCTACCAGTAACAATGCTGTACAATTTGAGGACCGAAGCGCTAAGCTGCACTGGACGGCAAAACCGTAGAAGAGTTTATAGCCGAAAGGTTTCTTGTGGATGTTCCTGATAGACAGCATTCACAAGCAAGATTAAATTCCCATCGTCACCGCTCGACAAGCCCAAGGGTAAAGCTCTACAACGTTACCTCAGCGTGCCAGCAATTGCCTGCCAGTTTTCAGTGAGATTCATAGGGTTGCATTTTCTTAATTTTGTTTGTCTGGAAAACTCTGTTACTTCACAGCAGTGGAGGTGTCCTGCTTTTGGGAGCACTTTGAGCTATGGCTCGCAATCTGTTTCTCATGACTGTTCTAGTCAGACAATTTTTGATTTTCGAGCGCCCCTGTATTCCACGCCCACGCACGTCAATCCGATGATTCTGAAACACCGCCTGCTGAGATCAGCGTTCGAGGTGGATATAACATCCTTTCACCCTGCTTATAAATAAATTTACCTAAGGCGGTTTTTTCCACCGCAGTCCTTCCCCTTATCGGGGTAAGTGATATTTATTTATTTACTTATTGATTTATTTATTTATTCTTGCTATTCTTGCTATATTGCTAATCAATTTTTTATTATTTTGTAGTCCTCCTTTACATCCGGGTCTTCTGCAGCTTTTCGTCCATTCCATCAAACTTAGCAATGACACTTTTGTACTGTTTGATGCTTAGCGAGCCTACATTTCGCGTCCTCTCTCGCCGCGGCCAAGTAGGTTCCCCTTTCTGGGAATTTCCCATGAAAAGAGGGCTGTTAAACGGAGCAGTCAAATCTGTAAAGAAAACACTCATAATAATTTTCATTCTTTTTAACATCTTGATTTCCATAGCCCCACTCCCTCTATCAACTGTTCATATGTCGAAAGCAGTGCCGTCTCTGAGCGACTTGAAGTACGACCCCGCCCCCAGTCCCAGCAGCCAAGTACGACCCCACCCCCATATGGGTTCGGGCACAACGATGCTTACCCTGATTATCGAGTGTATTGAAGCAGATCAATTTTCGCTGTTTGTCACAGCTCCCTCAAAAAACAGTACACCAGTATGGTCAGAACACTTCTTTGCTGCGATGTCACGCACTAGGCGCGGTTTCTCGCTAATGTATCATGCTTCAGAAGCTGAAATCATGCACTATTCATGCAACATTCCGGAAAACCTGAAAAAACAATTCCCCAGAATCTGCGAGCATATTCTCAAAAGGAGGAGCGGACACGATAGTAAAAACTAAGCCTGGAACATTCAAAATATTTGAATAATTGAAGAGGTGAAGCGTTAGTTCCATTTTCCTTTCTGCCAAT